TCTCAATATAGAGAGCCAGAATGGCGGACTGACTTTACAAAACACACACAGCCACATGCACAGGAGTGCAAACAAATGGAAAAATTGCCTTTGTACACGCATCTGTATTTGAAGAAGATCTGAATCCCCCCCCCATCGCCCCAATTTATATTCAAATACAACTGATTTAAATTAGGCCAGTGATGAGAGGAGTGTGAGAACACTGTCAATAGCTGGCTGATCGGAGAGTGGATAAAACTTCCACCAACTGGGAAAGGCAATGTGCAGATATAACCCACCTGACTAGGATCCTCTACTTAGAGAGTTAGATCACTTCAACACAATGCAGTAGACCTAGATGACTAGCTTTTATCCAAGTTTTCTGGGATGGAATGGGAGTAAGTTCAGTAACTCTGCCACCAGGTATAGATCAAGAAGTTTATTATTTTAAACTCTAGTAACATCTTAATGCAGCAATAGCGGAGAAGAACCTTCATTTAAAAATAAAAAAAATAAAGTCTTACACTTGGATTTCTGCCATGATCTGGGTAAGCATCCAAACAAGAGTCCAGCTCATTCCCATCTCCACACAATGAAGGAGCAGAAGATGCTGTGGTTTAATGAAGTACATAGTGATCTGTTCCCAAGCATTCTATTTGGCATTATGTTTGTTGTGTGTAATTTATTCCTAGAATTATCTACCTTTACTGAAAATGACATGGGACAAAATAAATCCGCTGGTCTTTTCCAAACTCCAGGGAATATTTGTGGACACCAGAAAAATCGCCACACACAATTAATCCCTGCTCAGGAATTGGATGTTGGAACTGGAGCAGCATGCGGGTTGGCAAAACCAGTGCAGATCTGAGGTATTTCAAGAGCATCTATCACAGGCATGTTTCAATTTAACTCACAGATAATACCAAGGTCACTGCCAAATGCAAAAAGTCCTGTGCCTGGTTCAGGCCCAAAGGCCCCAGTCTTAAAGAAGACAATTCAGAAGGGTTAGATTTGTTCCAATTTCCTCCTCTGTATGCAAGGTTTTATAGTTTCTCTTGTGGAAGTGATTAATTCCAGGTCTACTTTGGTTTGGGATCAACCATTCCCCTATTTAACACCCCTTCCCTGGCATTCCTCCGTGAGCAGTACCTTCCCTGCAGGTATTGATGAGAATCACTGTATGTCTTGTCCTCATACAACACTGTGCTGAGAGAAGTCTCATATGGTATGTGTTAAGAATAGGCACCACCAACCTCAACCTCCTTTATTCTACCTGCCTGTGAAGACGAATTGCTCACAATGTGCTTTTATCCTTTAATTTTTCTGCTATTTGCGCCACTAGCAGCATACATTGCCCTGGGACTTGCCTTCCTCTGAAGGATCAGGTATGGGTTATTGCCAAAGACTGGATATTAAAAGTGTTATCAGACACTTCCATCACTACTTATTTAGGCCTAAATGGAAAGAGGACTATTTAACATCTCAGGGCCATACAGTGGCCTGTATAAAACGAAGCTTGATCTTGCTCCTATTTCTAGAGAACAAATATCCACAACACAAACTGCCACCACAGTCTGCGACCTTGGGCGATAGTTTTAACGGACAGTCGAAGATGAAAACTAACCTGCCATCTTGTCTCAAATTTAAAAAGATCCCTCCCAGTTTTCTTTGAGGCACAATGGTTGAAGCTTCTATTACCATCATCATCCTATTCTATGCATAGAGGACTTCAGCTTCCAGTGCCATCTATTTATTACCTTTTATGGGCACAGTGATGCTGGTAAACCAGGTGCCAGCTCTTGCCAAGTCTGCAGGCACCAGCAGAGCACTGACAAATTCATAGCTGGAAGCCAGACCAGCTCACCTATATGTTAATATTGTTCAAGATAGGTGTTAGACTTGTAAAAATGCATTTAGATTCTATAAAATACTTGTAAGTTGCTGTATGCATTAATCTTACTTGAAATGTCTGTATTCCAAGATAAAATATAGGTTTTTTGACCTGGGTTAAGCCCTAAAAAGACATTCAATGCTGATAGATTACTATATCTGACACTTTTTGAATCGCAGACAAACTTCTTCATGTATATATGATTGCTTGCTTTAACCTGTAAAAAAAAACCTTTCATTTCTTTTTCCTACTTTTTAGTTAAATTTATTATAGGCTACCAGTGTTGTCTTTGATAATGAAATCTAAGGTACAAATTGATCTGGGGCACGTGACTGGTCTTTTGGGTCTGGAAGTAGCCTGAATATTTTGCAATTTTTGATATAAGTGACCATTTATCACTAAGTCCAGCTTGCCTGGATGTCAAGATAGACTGGAAATCTCAAGGGGACTGATTGTGACTCCATGGTAAGACTGTTTCAGTGATCTAGGAGTTCACATTTGTTACTGGGTTGATGAAATCTAATAGAACATACTGCCAGTTTGGGGTGTCTGCCCTGAGGTTGGCACTCTTGGTCGTGAGCCACTCCAGACAGTCTGATAGGCAGTAACTTTACTTTTAAGATGAAAAGACTAAAGAGAATTAAAAAGCTGTAATCACGCACTAATTACTTGGGGCTTCATCCTAAAACATGAAGCACTATTTATTGTCATTAGCTTCTTATAGATCAAGGGCATACCTGAGATGTAGGTTTAATTGTTTAAATATTTCTTTGAATAGTTGTAAATGTTTAAGAGCAACTATTTTATGAAGTAGCTCTCATTCACTCCTTTTACGTTTTCACAAGCTAAACTTTACTGCCACATTCAGATTAATTGCTTGTCAAAGCCCCTTGATCATATGAAATATGGAAAAACAACAAAAGAAATGCAAAACAAAACCTGTAAATTGGTCCTAACAAGACTGCAGTGGAACAATAAATCAAAGGGATGTTTCAAAACTTTTGAAAATGCAAAATTGATAGGTTCTAAGAGAGTATTTAGTTATTCATCCTGCATGCAGTTTGCAAAATGGCAACAAAAATTGAAGTCCCCTGTTGCCTGACTGCTTTTAACAAGGGCTATAAAATAAAATTTTGCCTCAAGGTAACAGAGAGGTTATTCGAGTTTGGTAGATCAATCAATATTTCAGTACCCATCAACTGCCAGATTAGTGTTCATTTCAACCCCCAATGTATGCAAGTGTGAGAGAGAAAGAGTTAGCCTGCGAGACTGCAGGCTTGCATCATGTAGAATTTCCAGAAGCTCCTGTACAGCTCTGGCTTCTTTTCTTTTTTCTCTTTTTCGTTTGTTGGTGCCAGTTTGGTGGCATTTGCTTTTTTGTCTCTTCAGAAGGAATCTCCAATGGAGGGGTCAATGGAACTAGATCCAGGTTACTGTACTCAAGATTTTAACTTATTTTAAATGATAAATAATGGAAATTAAGCAGACATCTTCATAGACGGACCAGGCTTGTATTCTAACTAGATCAACCCAGAAGGGGGGGGAGGGGGAAGGAGGGAGACACAACAAATGACAAGTCATTATATGTCATAGCTAGAAATGACACACGCTTTCAAGGTTTAGAAAGCCAATGAGTGATTTCAACTGGAAAGAAATCCCTTGCTACCAAGCACGGTTTTTCTCACAAGAACCAGTTCCTGCAAGCCTGATGTGGATGACAGAAGTTCCAGAATGCTTTGCAAAACGTGAGCTGTGACAGAAAGCAGAACATCTCCCACGAAAGTGGTTAGAGCAGAAGTAATCTGTGACTTGCCTCTCTAGTTGTGTTAAGGGTAATACATATGTTGTCGTCTTCCCTTCTTGTGGTTTGACACTACTAAATAATGGCCCAATTTTCATGCACTTCCTATGAAGTGCTGAGCACCCTTATCTCCCAGCTGGGTTCAACTGGGAGCAGAGCGTGCTGCATATCCCACCAGATTATACTTATTAGAAGCGGTATTCCTTCAGCAACATGGAACGACAGGCCCTAAGCCTCTTAGAACTGTAACCAGAGAGTTGTTAATTTTAACATTCCTGTTTGGCAGATAGATACATTCGGGCCCTGCAAAATTCTCACAAATGTACTAGCCCATTTTCCCCTTGGTACTGGACGGGAAGACAACACAATATAGTCACAAAAACTGTCTCTTTACAAATAAAAATGCAACATAGCCCTTTGTAAGAGTCATCACTTTCTCTTTCTAAATATAATCTAAAATGAAGCTGCCCTGTAATTTGGGGAAAGGATCCTTGCACACAGAGCATATATCATTTTTCACATAGTGTTTGGTGACATATATTGCAGGGTCTCTATCTGGTTTGTGGTAAACAAGCTGGTCTTCCCTAGGAAAGCCCACTGCCTCATGAGAGCCAACTTTTCTCCGAAGGGGCCCACTCAAAATCCCTGTCCCTCAGGATTCCAGGGAAGGGCTGTAAGAGCATTGACTGGGAGACACCAAATTCCTTTGGGAAAGTCATCTCCACACCCAGAATCAGAATTAAAAATTGGAAACCCAAGCTAGAGTTTTACACTCATTCCTTTTTTTTTTTTTTTTTTTTTTGCTTATGTTAAGTAATTTTGATTTCTTGTGATTATAAAAGGTTAGTTGTTCATGGAAAGACCACACTGATTGCAACTGTGCCTGTTTTTGCTGCTCAGTCATTCAAGAAGTTTATGCAGACTATTAGAGGTTAATATTTTATGCTTAAAATCAGGTTTCAGAGTAACAGCTGTGTTAGTCTGTATTCGCAAAAAGAAAAGGAGTACTTGTGGCACCTTAGAGACTAACCAATTTATTTGAGCATAAGCTTTCGTGAGCTACAGCTCACTTCATCGGATGCATACTGTGGAAACTGCAGAAGACATTCCCGGGGTGGGAGGAGGTATTGTTTCATGGTCTCTGTGTATATAATGTCTTCTGCAGTTTCCACAGTATGCATCCGATGAAGTGAGCTGTAGCTCACGAAAGCTTATGCTCAAATAAATTGGTTAGTCTCTAAGGTGCCACAAGTACTCCTTTTCTTTATGCTTAAAATAAATCATTAAAATAACTGTAGAGAGGATAGCAAACATTCGGCAGGATTTTACCTTCCTTTGTGAGGTCTCCCCCTCTCAGGCACCCCTGCAGATGTCCTTCGGTTCACTGTGGAGTAATCTGGGTCCAGTTCATACCCTTCATCATCTACCCCAAGGCTGCGGTTATCGTCCTCCAGCCCATAAGGCTCTGGCTGGAAACGTTCTGGCTGGGAGCGATTCAAGTCAATGTTGCTGCCTGTTGGCACTTGGGGCTGGGCGATGGGACCATAGTTATCCCTTCTGCTTGGCAAGGTGAAACTACCATCCTCTGGCCGGTAACTGTTTCCTGGCATGTAAGCATAGCGAGGACGGTAGTTGATGCCACGGGACAAGCTGCCATAATTGTCAGCTAGGTCTCCGTAGCCATCGTGGCTGATAAAGGGGCGATACTGGCTATCGTGGCCTTCGGGATAAGAATCGTAGCTATTGTAAGATCTGGTCAACGTGGACGAAGCTTGTGGTGTGATGTAACGCTCACCATTCTTCATGTATCTTCTGTCTATTGAATCTGTGTAGCTGCCCATGGGAGAGGAGCTGTCCATTACAGGCAGGCCATCAGGCCCCAGGGGGACCTGGCGTACTGTTCTAGTGGTGACTGTTTTGACCATTTTTGTGACCTGTGAAGCAGAAACCAATACAGATGTTAACGTTTTCCTTCTGTCTGGCTCCAAGTTTTAGGATGAGTACAAGGGAAATTCCTCGTGAGGAGATCTAAAACTAGACTAGAAAACACTAGAAAACATACTGCAAGTGAAATCCTGGCAGGCAGTAGGTTACCTAATGACTTATAAAATTCCATACCAGCCTTAGGATGCTGTTTTAGCAATTAGAAAATTGAGCTTATATGAAGGTGGAGCATCAAAGGGGACAGAATTTAAGGTTGTTAATATTCTAGTTACAAATAATACAACCTTTTCTCCCTTAAGCTCCACTCCTCTACCCCTCATACCGAACCCCTACAAAAAACCATTGACTGCTCTCCGTTACATGGCGTTATTTTAGATTGCCACCAGCGTAAGACTGTCATTGCAGCCATCCCAAACTGTACCCATCTAGATCACCTTTTGCAGAGTTTCAGACACTTCTATTGAAGTTATGTTTATGCACAGTATTACTTTTGTTTTCATATGATTTTTTCCTCCTTATAAATCCTGTTTATTCCAACCTCAAGTGGGTTTAGACTGTTTGGGTATTTCACTCTGATCATCCAAAGACATGAAAAAATAAATACAAGGAGACCAAAAGAGTCAAAGGTGTAAACGTGACCCAGTCACAGCCCAACATTAAACAATGTTAAGCGAGGTTCAGGGTTTGGCATACAGAAATTTCACCCAATGTAGTACTATGGCCAACACACTAGGAACCTTCATTAAAGATACAGAAAACACTTTATGTTTCAAATGCCTTAACTATTAAATAAAGCTTTCATTTTAACAACATCTCTTCATCTCTTTAGCTGGAGAGAGTATTTAGAACAGGGGTGGGCAAACTCTTTGGCCTGAGGGCCACATCTGGGAATAGAAATTGTATGGCGGGCCAAGAAAGCACACAAAATTGGGGTTAGGGTGTGAGAGGGGGGTGAGGGCTCTGCTTGGTGGTGCGAGCTCTGGGGTGGAGCTGGGGATAAGGAGTTTGGGATAGAGAAGGGTGCTCTGGGCTGGGATCGAGGGGTTAGGAAGGCAGGAGGGGTAGGAGTGCGGGAAGGGGTGCAGGTTCTGGCTGGGGGTGTGAGCTCTGGGGTGAGGCTGGGATGAGCCGTTTGGGGTGCAGGGTGCTCCGGACTGGGATCAAGGGGTATGAAGAGCAGGAGGGGGACGGGGGGTTGGGGCACGTGGAGAGGCTCAGGGATGCAGGCTCCAAGCGGCGCTTACTTCAAGCAACTCCCAGAGCAGGGGCATGTTTCTTTCTCCAGCTCCTAGGCAGAGGCGCTGCCAGGTGGCTCTGCATGGTGCTCCATCTACAGGCACCGCCCCTGCAGCTCCTATTGGAGCACAGGAGGGGGCCATTGGTGCATGTAGGAGCCAGAGTGGGGCCTTGCCGTGGCTTCCAGGAGCCGCGTGGTGCGGCCCCGACCCAGTGCCCTGGCTGGAGTGCCGGAGCAGGGCAAGGCCCAGACCCCACTCCCCAGTGGGAGTTCGCAGGCCGGTTTAAAATGGTTCGTGGCCTGCATCCGGCCCGCAGGCGGTAGTTTGCCCACCCCTGATTTAAAAGGAAAAATTACTTTGTCAGACAGTCTCTTTAATGGTATTAAAGATGGTAATAATGGTCCTTTTGGGAGAAAGAGAAAAAGTTAATTGAGATAGGCTAGAGCTGTCATTGCTGCTTTTGTTGAAGTCCAATCTTATTTCCTATAAAGACAAAACAAGACCAACATGCATAAAGGGGTCAGGAATAGAACAGCAAAGATAGAAAACACAGTTTCTGTCTCTGGAGTTGACTAATTTACAACCTCATTGCTGAAAACAGCAGGCACATCACATGGTCTTGTCTTAGCCACCCTGAGACCTGACAAACTTATACCAGCTTCCAGCTGTTTAGGGCATTGCATCAGCTGCCTCTTTCTGGTCACAGGCTTACTGCTGCATTGCAAAATATAGTCTTGCTACCTGCAGTAGCAAGTGGCTAATATACACTATTTTAAAGCTATACTAGTACAAGGAAGATATTGTTGCTCATATAAGGAGGTTATAGAGTAATGTAATTTCTGTCATTAGAAACACTGGGGTGAGAGGGAGAATACACTAGCTTATATTACCCGTTGGAAAAGAACAAAAATAAATGAGAGATTTTTTAAACCAAATATTAGAAACTATGGAGAGAGAGTTAAAAGGATAAGTGTAAGTATGTTATACTTTTCTTAATCTAAACTGCATAATGCTGTATATACATGGAGTAAAATAGCAGATATTAAATCTGTTTCTGGTATGTTCAATGGCTCAGAAGCCCACATTGAGAGATTTTGATTTACAGCCTTTGATTAAAAAAATATTGATCACTGACCAGATTAGCCAAGCCACTGTTAAAACAATACTAGAGCACATCTTTTGAAGCAGCTCCAGACATATCCTCCAGCCAGATGTTTTGACACAAAGCGTGAACAGGAAAATTTCACCCAAACAGCATTTTCCCCAGAGACATCTGCAGCCAAATGATACTTCAGCCTAATGAAATAATGAAGTCCTGTACGTCTGTAAAATGGCAAGAATGGCTCCCCACCAACAGCATAATTAAACAGCATCATGAACCAAATATCAACAGGATCTTTTCTGTCATTAGGACAAGAGCTGAAGGAAATTCCTTCAGCGTCCTGAGGGTTTGCCTTAGTAATTAGTGTCCTCCCTGCAGTTTAATCTATTTTTGTGTTCTGGTAAGCTAAAAGAAAGAGAACCACACCTAAAAGAGAAATAATAGTATCACTGAATTAATAGGATCTGGCCGTTCATTTTTGTTTCATGGTATTTGCACGACACAATCAGAAGTTTTATGTATTAACATCAGCGTCATCCAGTAAAAGGAGCTTCTACAGAAAAAGAGAGCATAGGTTAAAATAAGTACTGCAAATAACTTAGGGAGCTGTTAGTATCTGGATATGAAAGTAAGCAGTACATTTAAGTACCATCCTCTCCAACTCCAAACACAAAACTATATTAAAGTGCTAGAAAACAATCTCTCAGGGTTGGTGCATGCGGGGACTTTTCTATAGCAGCAAGACACAATGTTACAGTTTTTGGTAGCCTTGAATTTTCAGAGCAGAATCCAGGAACAAGATACAGTGAGAGAGGGGGTTAAAGTAGTTTTAAAAAGATTTCTGCATACTGAAAGACAGCAAGGGCAATCCTACTGGGTGCAAAAAGTGGGGTCCCCTCTTTTTAGCTCTCCTAAGAACATAAATAGCAACTATACGCTCACAAAACTTTTACTCTCTGCACTATTAAACACAAGTCAGGTAGCATCCTAGAACGCTGATTTGTGTTTTTAAGAATCCTGTTGCCACATGTGTGCAATTTCTGTTTGTAATGTTTAATTTATTCCTAAAATTATCAACATCAGACACAATCTGAGACAGCCAATACACGCATGGGTGGGCTATGACTATAGCACAAAAAGTGGGAAACAGGTTTTGATCCACAGGACAGAAGATCCTTGGTACCAAAAGAAAAAAGAAGGGGGGGAGGGGAAGGTTATGCAGAGGGAAGAGGACACAATGAACATCCACATCTGCCAAAAAATTCCATTGTCAATTCTCTTGGAGCTTGTCTAATTTCCCCCTTCACGTTCATTTTTTTGCTGCAGAATGAAATAATTCTTATTTGGAAGATAAAAGAAAATGGCATTTGTTTTTCTCTAGCAAAGCTGCTTACAAAGCTTCTGTAAAAAATTAAGATCCAAATTATTTTATATATTTTAGGTTACAACCAAAACATTTTAAAATCAGTTCTTCAGCAACTTATTATGCATTATTTAGTATGTGTGTTAAGGTAGCATTTAGAGGTCTCAGCCAAGATTGGTAGGTATCCTGCTGGTACCCGACATACATTAGTGTCCCCAGGGATATTTTGATCTTTGAAATAAGCACATGTACAATGTTACATACTCTGTGTCTTTCATCTGTTATAGCCATAATGCCCATAGCACTGTTTTAGAATAGTTATATAAATAATTATAATGTGTCTGCTAGTCATGCAAACCATCCTAGAACCCAGAAGGCAACAACCATGTGGAAGCAGATTAAACATAATGGTGCTAGCACAATTTCAACCCCAGTGTTTGCCAAAAGCCATGTGATTCCCAACCAACACCTGAAAGAATTGGGACATCCAGAAAGACCCTGTACAGATCAACCAAAAGGAACATTCTTCCATTTGTGCATTAATGTCAATCTTTATCTTAGCATAACCAGTGGTAAAATAATGAAAAATCAAGGTGGTTCTCTCTGTACAGGGTCTATTTCCAGAGAAGGGATAACAGGAGTTTCTACTAGTATCTCTGTCACAGGGAGGAAGTGCATCTAGTGATTGTTTTAACTCCTTTTCTCACCTGCAGCACAATGAAAGGAAGCTTTTAGAAACAACTAGTCAGAACACAAAGCAAGTTCCATTTATTAGGCTTCTAATCAAGAAAAAACCCAAAACAAACAAACAAACAAACAAAAAAAAAACCAACCCTCACTGCAGGAAATTTAACTCAATGGAATGTTTCATCCATATTCCCTTCAGGGACACAGCCAGAGTTGACAGGCTGATAATGTAGCAAGATCCTCTCCTTATATATTTTTGTTCCCCTGATACCAATACACTAATAATAAAGACTAAAAGCCATCCCAATTGAGATCTACCACATGCTGCACCTTTTATTCTAAAGGATGCCAAAGCTCTTCACAGACCACGGGCCCAACCTAGCGCAATACTTACTGGCCCAAACAGTCCCATTAAATTCAACGGGACTCCTCATCTGAACCACTGATTTTTCAGTTTGATGGATGAACAGAATAGATTTGGCTTGTTTCAAACAAACTGAATTTTGTTTCGTTTTTCTTTATACCGAAGTAGTTTTGTTTGGGTCCCATGAAACGTTTCAAGATTCATTTCAAAATGACATTTCTAAAATGTTAAAATGA